GTTTGATGAAAAACAAGGTACTATGGAGTTACCAGGCAACACGGAATCTAAGGTAAGGTCAGTGCTCTACAAGCCTACAACACGATGGGACAATAGCGATACAGACTTGAAGAACCTCCTCCAATCAATCAAAGTTTTTCACCGAAGCTGAACTCGGGTTTCGATTACCTCACTTGCGGTGCCTAGTTGTCTTAGTCAATACTGAAGTTTTAAACAATCGGCGTCTTCAAACAAAAGTCGGGAGATCCCAGGTGTCAGAGCTACTCAGATAGTGGATAAACGGATCTAATAAAACCCTGAGACGCCCTGGAATGGAGCAATTTTTCTATCGAATCGAGAGGACAACAGGAGAGTGTGTGGGCAACACCCGATGAACCTCGTTGCCGGAAAGTGCTCACATAAGTTCGTCAACAGGCTGTGAGCAGCGGAATAGAACTGTTGGAAGTGAAAACACCACAAAATAAGTTGGATTCATGAAGTAAGGTGAAGTCAGTCAGCTACTCACCTGTGCTTGCTGGATAGCCAGCTGCTGTAACAACTGAGCCGTGATCACCGGTTGAGCTTGCTGTGTCTGAACAGCGTTTCCACCTGACTGCGCAGCCTGAATTGCATTAGCCGCAGCAACCAGTTGCTGAAGCTGCGCATGCTGCAGTTGTTGGTGCAACGATGCCGGAAGGACAGTTGGTACGGACGGTGTGTCGTAAGTGGAAGCTTTGCCACCAGCGAGCGCCGCAGCAAGTTGATCAGAACCAGCCATGCTGCGGATGGCTGTGTTTTGCTGACCTAATGAAGCCATCGAGGTCCATAATTGATTTTGAATTTGTGTGTTCAGTGCAGCGAGCTTGGGGAAAAAGTGTGTGAAACTACTTTTACACATGGATGTGAATAGGCAAATAGAACAAACATGGCACTGATGAAGTCTTTGTGCAGAAGGACATTCTGGGTGTTTGAGTACGTACATGTTTCACTACTCTCCCGCTGCGGTTTCATATGAATTGGTGTCAATCATCAGCGCAGATACATCAATCAAGCAACAAAAGTATTTCTGAATGGGTAGTGTACACTAATCACCTCTTACCACTCCCTCACCACACCTCACCATCACCCATTAGGACGAGTCCAGAGCACAACTGATTTTCAATACCCAATGACTTGGCGATGCACTCTTCCGCATTCTACCACTGGTGCAAACAGCTTTAGCAGAGAATATTCTCATTCATGACAGTAATCTATCATGAATCAGAGAAACTAGCAACGTAGCGATCACGCAACACGATACATCTGACGTATCAATGAACATCCTGGTACCTGTTAAAGATTCCCCGGAAGCATCACTGAATAACCTTATGGGAAAGTTTGACTGCTTCAAATAAAGACAGAATCATGAGTGAAGCACTCTATGAACTCCGATATACTGGCTGACTATCACCCCAAAAAGTTTGCCATAACGTCTAAGTGAACTTTTCCGATAAGTTAGCGTTGGCTATACACAAAGCATCATTCATTGAAAATACCAATCGACAGTAATGCATCAAAAACATGGGGTGATGCAAAGCAGGAAGCATCTATAACCATCGGGTTCCAAATAGTCATAATTGTTTTCGTAATGCCTTCGTGATCACATATCCCACCAACATGAGAATACTGCTTTTCAACAACCTAGACGATCAGGGCTGACGACCATCATACGAGTTGCGCCAGTGCCTATGCATCATTGATATATAGGAACACTTGGCATTGGAGCATTCACTTCACACTTCACTTCCCTTCATCACGAACGTTGTTAAAAATCACCAGAATACAAGTGCGATTTTACCAACCCAGTACGATAAGCGTGCGACAGGGTCTTTATTGGTCATCCGCAGAGGCGCGAACACTCTAGAATCTATCAAAGATGTTCCGTCGAAAGATGAATCCTATATTCGGCATTCACGAAGGCCCTTCCTATCCAGTACCAAAGATGAACTTATCTTTGTTACACGCAAAAGACATTTACTGGAAAACTTTGGAAATCCAAATTGTGCACAACATGAACACCATCCAGAACATAAAGTATAGAGTGTGCAAATCCAATTATTCCTCACACCCCCAAGACTTATCAGTGAGCTGAAACTAGGCTAGAAAATGAGTGATCCGTATTTCGGGATACGGACACCACAATCTTGTGTGACGAGAAATAACGCCCCAACCTAAGTGATACCAGTAATGCTGCCAGTTTCTACCCAGGCTGTGTTTGGAGATGTGGGTAGTTCAGAATGCTTGTTATGGGATAAAAGTGGATCCTTGCCATTTTCTTCTGCTCTCACAGCATCGCACTCACCAAGGTCGAGTGACAATGAACCACTGACATTTAACGTTAGCTTTGCTGATAATGCTGATGACAAACACACTGTCTACCACATGAAGTAACCAGGCGATAAACGCAAACTGTTGTTGAAAAGCTATCTCCAGATACCTAGCGGAACCCTGGCTAGGATGCATTTCTGATACCGAATAATTCTCATCAGCGATGATCGCACATACTGTCGACAACCGGTAAATGAAGTAATGACTAATCCAACCGCCGACTGATTTAAACATACCCCTAACGCCCTACCCGAGAATCACAACGCCTTCTAAGTTTAGTAGCGAGCACTTGATCCGGTAAGAAGCAACAACTAACCATACAGATGCAAGTGAATGGAGCCATAGGTACCAATTACCCGGCATGCTGCAGTGAAAATCACGCGGCTCACATTCAGCTTGGTAAAGATTTCATCAGCTACCGAAAAGCCTAGCAAACTAGACCACCATTACAGAGGCGCCGAGCGAGCGTTGGTGGCAGCAGTCAAGCAAGCACTTGGTTAACAGTTCCGGACTGTTAACAGCAGGAACATAAGGTTTTTAACCAATCAGACAGCTGGGTAAGGCATGCTTTGTCCCGTGCATGCTTACTCATAGAGGTCCTCTCGATGTACTTACATCCAGAGATACTGGAAAAACTAATAGATCCCGTTTGACGCAGCCACCAATGAGCACTTATTTATCTGGATAAAGTTGACTGTAAGTTTAACCTGAAACAAATCACACCTTTCCAGTTGCAGCCTGCGTATTCCTTGGCAAAAACTGGTAGCTTAAGGTTGGAAAAGGAATTTGTCACGATGAACAACAAACTTCTGTACACTGCAGTTATGAATACTGTCTCACTACTCTGCTTCTCCTCCTCAGCACTACCACCAAAGCCATACTCGTTGGTCTGTGAAAGCATTAAAGCAGACAACAGCATTCTTCGAAAAGCAGGAAAAATCTGTTGAGACCTGACAGCGAGTGTAGCATACGAAACCCACACACCTGATTCAGTGTTCTGATGATGGTCAAATTAAGACACGTCAAACTGGACCCAAGGAGACCCTCATCCATGAAACGCAACAGCGGGAGAAATAACGGTGTGAAAACATCTTGACTGTATGTATACATTGCTTGAAATGTTGAGCCCCTTTTAAAACAGGACGCATTGGGATGAGTTGAAGCCCAACTGGTGGAAACATATACAGGTAGACGTTACAATCATCTAGAAGAGAAGACGGAACCACTTTATAACCAAACTGCTATTCCACCTTTTTTCTGATCAGACTTTAAATGAGTTCACGACTATCCATGGGCTTCCTAGTCTAGTATCACAAATATCAGGCGGGATATGATTGATGAGGAAGGGGCAAAATAATATCTTGGAAACAAATTTTTAAACGTGTGTGGAAATTAAATGGCGGCTTTTTTCGGAGCCTTAAGCGCAAGGAGGAAGGCTTCCAAATTCCGTCCACCAAAATAAAGCCAACTTGTGATATAAGGCCCAGAAGCAACATTCCAAAAACGTTTCGAAGTAGAAAACTTACCCGGGCATCCTCGGCGAGCCTAACGAAATTTTGGTTGACACCGGAGTCCGTGACTGCCAAAGAAGTGGCGTTACTGTTCACAGGAGTCAATAAACTAGCGTCCCCGGAGTACGCCGGATACACCAAACCAGCAGAGACTAAAAGAGCTAAGCGCTGAGAGTGAAGTTCCGCTTCCGATGGAATGACGGAAGACGTGGTTACTTCCGCTGATTCTCCTGTCATAAGTAGATTGCTACGGCGGAGTGCGTGCTGTTTTGCTTGTTCTTGTAAAGCTAAAAAATATGGGATTTAGGCGAAGAAGGATGAAAAACTCAAATTGAAACAAGTAGTGAAGTGGATGGGCTGCGCGTGAACTGAATGAAAAGGTGCTTCATCATGTGAATCTAGTCCATAAAAGCCGTGCTAACAAAAAGGAAGACCAAGTCATGAAGGTAAAAGCGGAAAAATTCAATGGCTGTTAGTTTAGGCGTGAAATAAACATATATGGAGAAAACTGCAACCTGAACGTGGCGAAACATTCGCACTCTGCCCTCTTCGGTAGGGTGAAAAATTGTAAACCTAGGGCGAGAGAGGGTTCTACCGTTTAAGGCGACCAGTCACCCCTCAAGGTAAATCTCCGTGCGCGAAGCTGCGGCACAGGTTAGAAGTAAGCTCGATACTGGATTTCAAGACTCCCCAAGACCATCCACAACTAACTTATTCCATTTACATAAAATCTACTAACAGCGCGTTAACTTCTCGCAGACAATCTCGCAACAGCGCATTGTACTGCGGCTCAGTGGTGTTCGCACATGCGTCACTGGAAAACCTAAACCCAATATGAAAAGAAAAGCTCGTTTCTTACGGTTAGCCATACGCCGGTCTGGTGAGCGACAGAGCGGCGTTTCCGTCAAGATTATGTGTATTTGGACTGCGTATTTTCAGGACCATTCTGAAGAAATCATGTGGACTCAGTGACAGCCTAAAAAAAGTTCAACACAGTTCTACCAATTATGCTATCTGGGACGAGATGGCTCAGTGGTTAGAGCGTGAATTTACTGATCGGAAGGTCCGTGGTTCAAAACCGACCTCTGCCTCTCGACTTCCGCTGTCTAGGTTTGGGCGACTTGGCAGCATCCCCAGCCTTTATGCTTCTTTCCGAAAGGGTGCTACAGCTAGATGAATTATACTACGCTCTTAGGTAACCCTTGCAGTTCACTTCATTCGTGTTGGGACTTTGGTAAAATTCACACAATCATTTTAGGCCCCTGGGGTCAGTTAGCTGGCTTAAGAACACAACAGTTTCTCACGAACTACAGCATTGGGTGTCACCTGTCAGCCGAAGTTTTTAGCCAGGATCTATGCAGCAAGGTCTGCGGCTTGTGTGGATTCTAAACACTGGTGCCATGTGCATTCACTCCAGAAGTGACGAGTGTATGCTTCTTAAGCTTCGTTTATGCTCAGTATTCTTCAAAGTCCCAAGGAAGGAGCGAAAAGTGTCTTCCTAGTTGACCTCTATTCACAATGTTGTAAGGCAGAGGAGAAAGACAGACCAGAATATGACGAAAAAGAACAGAAATAAGTGTTCAGCTGTTGTGTTGCTGACTGTTCGGAGACGAACCACTGGAAACATCATGTTAACCGAAATCGTGTCGCGAACTGGCTGCAGACCAAAAGAAGGCATGTCCTGTTTGGAGGGAATATAGGATTCAGAAATAGACATTTCAGCTTGTGCCTCTCGTTCTATCACGAAAACTCAGGTTTGGTGTTGTGGAAAGTTCTGTGACCACTTGTCTTCAATAAGGGTTGTCTCAAGCTACTGCGAATTTCGAAACGATCTTGTGGGAATAGCGGGAAGTAAAAGTGGGTCATATGGCAGCGCGCCGTTCTTCATATACGTAAAGCAACCAGGTGATTGCTTATAGTAATATAGTTAAAAAGTTCCGGACAACCATATTTCTGTCTTGGGAGTATCGGTTGACTGGAAGGGACACCGTATATCGTACGGCTGCAACCTCGTTGAGATTGCATGACGGTACAGATAAAGCAATGTGGTGGATTTGGTGGATTTGTGGAATCTTGAAAACTCATGTGTCCATGTATCTGACTCTAAAGTGGAAGATGCAATTCACCTACAAGTTCAAATGACGAAATAATAAACCCATTTTGAAACCAGGAATAAATTTTAAGGTAAATGTTGGAAGCCGAAGACGAGCGCAAACACAAAGGAGTGATTCAACAATCACGTTCTATAGTATTACCTCTGTACTGCTCCACTTTCTCCGGAGGGATTAGGAATTCCATTGAGTTCGACTGAGAAGTGGCTGAATCATTTGAGTTTTGAGGATTGGAGTTCGAAGGGGTATTGGTGGCCGCTGTTTCCAACGGCGCCCGGTTAGAGGACTCCTTCTCAGTAGGAGACTGTTGACTGACAGACAGGCCAAAACGCTTGGCCAACTCTGGAGGCAACTAAAATAAGGGACATGTGGAATGGGTAGAAGGTTGGCACGTTAGCTTTGCAGGATGCATTCAACAAACTTGTCTGTAAGCGGACAACCCGGGAGTCAGTTGCTAAGGCCAGGATGTTTCGTCTCCACTGAGGCTTAGTGAGTGTGCGTATTCGCCGAACTTGAGAATAATATTTTGAGCAATAGACTCATTTGCAAATCAATTTGGTTTTCACGGGAGACTCAATTGATGAGCCCCAAGAAGGGCGAAACCGGTCATGGGCTGTCGAAGAGTTTTCAGCAACCTTGTGAGTAGTTTCCTTCATGAAAATATTTTGAGCAGTTAGGTTCGATCCTACTAACAGAGCTAGAGTCCATCTCAACTAAGAATCCGCCCAAAATCGGAATGATAGCGAGCTACCTAGTATGCGGTGATTTTTGCAACCTAAAAGAACACTTCACAACCCATAGCTGATGGGCTCGAATGACTGCAAACCAGCGTATTTTAACGGATCATTTGCAGCAATTACTATCCGGTTTCGGGATTATCTGTATTCAAAATGCAGAAAAGAACGGGACAACAGTTATTCGCTTCGGATGCAAGTAAACACAGTACTGTTAGATATCAAAAGCAAAAAAGACACTCACTGACCTGCGGACCAATATATGGAGCAGTTTCTGTATGGCTTGATAGCTGCTCAGCTGTTGTATTATCATGACTAGTGGAATGTCCGGCATCCAGTGGAAGTGGGATGTCTACTAGTGTAGATTTGCCCGATGTCACAATCTGTTCTTGTTTCGGCCTTTCGGACGCACCCAAAGTGGGTTGACTGTGGGACGCAGCACCGTCGGGTAGTTTTTTAGACCCTATAAAACCGAAAACCGGAAATAGGAGCACTCAGCAATTCGAAGCAAAACACCCTATTCCCAACAAAGTGTTCAAGATATGAAAATCTCATCTGTAAACGAAATCTAACACGGTTGCCTGTGAAGCACCTCAAGTGACCATACAAGTGATCTTCCCTGTATTGTGCCGAGCTTTAGAATCAGTCCAGGCAGCACTACCACCAAAGGGATAGAAAAGGTCTAACGTTAAATGGACATTTTGCCCCAAAATGGCGGTTGATAATTAAAGCACAGATTAGGTTGACGCGCCCAATTAAAACCTTATCAAGTCCTACGGGGCACATGTAGGAATTATCTAGAAAGCTTACCGGAAATGCTGTTCCCACCCGTTACTCGTTTGACTGCAGCAGAAACCGTATCTGCAACACTGGATAGCGAGAAAGTTGTCAAGGCATCACTGACACGTTGTTCCACATTACTTCCTCGACCTAATGGACCCATGCCAAGTCGTGCCAAACGGTTTTCCGGACTACGACTGCGTTCTCCGCTGCTCAACTTGGAGCTGGAAACAAGCTTCCTATGTACAGGCGACGGTCGAGAAGATGATCTTCTTAAGGCCGAGGAACGGCGATGAGAAACGGGAGATGAAGCACGTGAAGATGAGCGCGAAGAACGGTAAGAGCTAGACTCAGACGTCCTCCAGCTCCGAGAACGAGAGTGAGAACGGCTTGAGTAACTCCGACGTCTGGAACGTCGATAGGATGACCTCACACGCCTTCGACGGCGCCGACCGCTTCTTGAGCGAGACTTAGTCCTGTCTCGGTAACCACGAGATAAATTCGATGAGCCTCGAGAAGACGAACGTGACGTATAAGACTTGGAGCGCCTCCGATGACGACGACGGTGTCGACGCCAACTTCCTGAATGACTACTCGCCGTAGAGTACTGGGACTCGTTATCAGACGAACGAGATGAAATCGAATCGTGTGAGAACGATTGGCGACGTGCATCGACAGGATACTCCCTATGATCTTCATCCTCTGGAACCGCTCGGCCTCTGCTCCGATGTGCGGGAGAAACAGAACTATGGGAAGAATAAGATCTTCGACGCTTATGCCGGGATAGCCTTCGTTTTTCACGTTTGCTGGAACGGTGTGCCTGCGGCTGAGCCTCTGTGGACACCGCGGAGTCTTGTTGCTTTTCCTCCCGTGCAGATTCTCGATCGACTGCAACATTCGATTCTGGAGCACATTTCTTGAATGATCCTGAAACCCAACAGGTACAGAGCAGATAAGCTGTGTTATCTTGTGATATCTTGGGGCAGCTATAGTCACTCTCCTGTGCCACCAGCATCGGTTATCAGCCAACTCGTTTGCATATAGACATGTACAACAGAAATTGACAGCATTCAATCCTTTTCATCAGTTTGAACAGCTTTTAGGAGATATACTATGGAAAGCCCAAGAAGTGTAGCCATTACTGTCACTAAATCCGGTGATCTATACTGGTACCTAATTGTCAAGCGATCAAGAAAAAGGGTATCCTAGTGATTGGGAGTCTGGGTGGAAAACCCGAAAGGCCTCAAGGAAATTCGTCGATACCAAAAAGTCGGAACCTTGCGTAACGCAGCCAAGAAAAAGCCAAAGTTATCGGATCCGAGTGATAACCTATGACTTCCATTGCACCAAGCACACACGAGCAGACAAAACAAGCGGCCGCATGGTTGTGCTGAGTACAGTGAAGTCAGTCTGCGAAATTTCCGAACATATGAGGTCGATACTGATCCAATCAAAAGGATGACTAAGTTAACGGACGCATGTGTAAAGGAAAACGTATCAACAGCTCCAAATGATACCGTTTGCTAAATAACATGCTGGTAGCGAAGTTGTCGTGCTGTGAAAGTTGGAACTTATTTAATGGTTCTTGTCAATTCCGAAGCTAATTCGGTTAACAGTTCAATACACTGTGCCAGTTCGTCAGAAGAATCACCCAAGGTTACCATCGAATCAGTATGTGGCGACCAGGGGTAATAGTTACACCAACCATGTAAATTCGGCCTTCTAGCCCGGGGACCCATGATACAGCAACCCATGAGGCAATTAGTGATCATAAACAGCTAATAACAATTAATGAAAGTCATGAAAGTTAAGGCAATAGTTAGATGTGAAACAAGCGTTCTTTTCTGACAAACATGTGGATGATAGGGATCATGAGCAACTGCTTCCGGAACACCCTATTGCGGCTGCGATATGGAGAAAAAGTCTTCATTAGGATTTAACCCTTGTGAAGCCAACTAACCGAGTAAACAGTCACCAAAGACTACACAACCGCCGGAATTGATAGGGTCAGTCGTGTCAGCGCAGATAGAAATCAGTAAAGTTTGGGACACCATATACTATATCAGAGGTGCTAGCAACATATTCTGCATTCACAATGCAGGTGATGCTTCCAACTCAGTAACCACTAGCCGCAGAGCGACTGGAAAACCAAACGGGCCTAAGACTCACTATCTACAAAAACTATGTAACGTGATAGGAACGATGTGGGAACACGGAATAGCATGCGCAACGAAAGCCACTGTTCGGCTGTAACACCATTTAGGTGCCTACTTGCTATGCCACCCGAGGGAAGCACGAAGGCTAGGATACTGCCAGGTTGCCCAAGCCTAGACACGGAAAGTCGAGAGGCAGAGGTCGGGTTCGAACCACGGACCTTCCGGTCAGTAAATTCGCGCTCGAACCACTTGATCCATCTCGCCGCCAACAAAATCCACAGTAAGAATTCAACAACTAAACTAAGGGACTGCGGTGATGTAATCGCCAACAGGTGTGATAACGGTTGAACTGTACGCTCGCAAAGAGATCTCCCGCTCACAAGTCGACAGAAAGCAACAGGAAAAACGCCAAGTGGAGGAATACAAAAACTCACGTTTACGTTTTCTACTAAGTTCCGCTTGTGGAGTCGGCTGGGAACAAGAGGTAATCTGGGGCGAGACTTCGTTTGATAACGCTGAAATGGTGGGGGCTGAGGTGCTACCATGAGTAGCGACTGTTGATGCTTCAAACTCGCTGTCACTTGAGTCCCATGTTGATTTGGCAGTCGTCTTGACAACTTTGAGTTTCTTCGAGACCCCGGCTGAGTTCGGCACAGAAGACCGATTCAATTCGTTTGAGTCCTCTTGTGATGAACTCTTATTAGGAGACCCTGAAGGACGCTTTTGCTTTGCATCTTTGGAGTGTTTTCGTGGTGCATCCATATGGTCCTCCTCGGAGCTATTATAGGCGACTAGTGATGCAGAAGTGGATGGTCGGTCAACCGGCGAGCGCGCGTGCCCATCAGGATTACGGTCACCCGAACCGGCTTCTGTATCATTCTCTGACGGTGATTCGGTTTGTTCATTTTTGTACGTGTTACTTGCACGGGGACTGATCTTTACCTTATTGCAAGAGTTGGCTCGTTTTGGAGCACTGTTTACACGTGGGCTTGAACTACGTTTTTCAAAAGAGCTGCTGACGTTCTTGGAGAGCTTGCCACTCCCGCTTGAATTGTGCCTACGCTTCTTTTTGGGGAACGACTCTGGCGAAGAAAGAGAACATTTAGACGTACATCTTGTGGGAAGCACTTAGGCTGAATGATTCTGGATAACAGCCACCAAGGACTCGGGATAACCGGTATAATCACTAATGCTGACCTGTACTATAAAACTGATACTACGTTGGATGGCACGTTCACAACTACACCCTTTTCCGGAATGCTAAAGGTTGATCCGCTTAAGTCAATCAGGTAGGGGAGAAACTTTCCAATTTTCAAAAAACATGAAGCTCTCCATCCTATTCACTTTACAGCAACGATAGAGTTTCTAGGTAATGCCAAGGATGAATGTAAAACGGAATAATCCAACCATGTGTAACAATTTACAAAGTGGAACGCAATCCTCAATGTTGCTTCTCACAATCTACAACTAGATGCGTAACCCTTCCACCAAGAGAGGTTAGTTCGCATTCCTGTGGAAGTAGTTCTTAGAGGGTAAGCAGCCCGTGAAAGTTAAGACGGTGAAGAGTTCGATTCAAGTCGTGAGAAACAGACATGAAGGATGGATAGGTTGTTCAACCTATTAAATCAGGTACCATCACCACCATCACCATCGACAGCATGACATGAATATTCAACACTGAGGCTTTACTGCCGTACAACTATGATTTATTTGAAAGCAACATTTGTGATATATTAACGGAACACAATCATCATCATCATGTAATAACCGCATACTTGTCATACAGTAGTTGTAGCCGCCACAGGTTCGTTCACCGATGTTTCGGGGAGGTGGGGTAGATAGCTGCGCATTGAAGGCGGGAGCTGATAAACCGGTACGTAAATACGGTACTGTCAGTGGGTTAAAGTTTGGGAATTGGGGAGCTATGCATTGAAGGCAATAGCTTGGATGCATGAGCGCCATTGAGGGCGTGACTGGGTCATGTCTGACAATATCCCTAACCATTGATGTGGCCCGTCTCGGGGTCCCCACCCAGGAAGACGGCAGTGACCAGTGCAGCTGAGTTTCCTGGTAATGGCTTGCACACTTCGCTGCCAAGTCATTGTCTGACCACCCTTCACATGGTTGTGCGAAAAGAACCCTTCGAGGAAGTCGGTCNCCACCAGATTCGGATAATGCTCCGAAGGCATCGATGGCCAAACACTGAAAGTCCTTTGACGTCCTCGGCGCGCAGTGGTCAGGTTTCTGATCCATATGGTAATATGGAGCGCACCGCAACATTGTAACCTCGACCCCTGACAGAGAAGCCGATGTCAGGCCTACGCAACAAGGTGACACAGGTTCACAAAAGTTGCTCTGGCCTTCCCAATCCGAAAAGGGCACAAATGGCTGTGCTTCAGCTACAATCATTCATAGCATTCATACGATATAATCAGATAAATGGCGGATTGAAAGAGAACCACAACGCACAAAATTATTTCATTTTCTTTGTGTGTCTACGATCCAAAACATATACAGTTACTGTCCAACAGAGGGAAAATCGACAGCATCCATGGGGCACACTTCATTCGTGTCCGAATCCGCTGAAACCTATTATGATTAGAGGGAATCGGAGATGACTGTAGCTGTACCACCGCTACTGAAAAAAAAACAGAGATTTGAGTTACCTGTGATGTGCGAATCCGTCGGACGAACAGCGAGCTGTGCATGTGATGGAGAAGTGTCAGTAACATCACGAGTAAGTGGGTCATTAGGTTGTCCGGGGATAAACGGCACCTGAGCGTCCAAATTCTTGCTGGCAAGTCCAGAACGCTTGACCGGGAAGGAGATTGACGAGCCAGCGCAGGACTCCTCATTCCTGAAGAAAGCAGGTAATAAAACACGATACAAATAAAGAAAAAACACTACAAAACAGTTCAATTTGCGAGCTATGATCCATGTCATTATGATCGTCATTATCAGCTGTAACTGCGTCGTACAGTGGTTATAGCCGCCACAGTTTCGTTCATTGATGATTTGGGGAGGGAGGGTAGGTAGCTGTGCATTGGAGGCGGGAGCTGATAAATTGGTGCGTAAATACAAGTCTGTCAGTGAACTTTTAAGTGGGGGTATGTTGGTTTCAGACGCTATAGTTTTGTTAACCCAGATCAGGGAGACTGAAGGAGACCAACCGAACATTAACTTCATCGAATAGACATTTTTATCTGACGGAATGGTAGACACATGCATTGACGGTGTCAGTGACCACTGTCACTTAGCGACTACTGGTGTCTGGCCCCCTGGCCTACATTAAGGGACGAAGCAGTCATTAATGCGGCTGAGCTGGTTGCTCAGCGTCCTCATACTCAATTGCCCAGATAGACTGACTACCTCTGGTTCGCTTCCGAAATAAAAATGACAGTAGATTAAACGGCATTCTAGCTTAGGAAGTACGTGTTCCAACGAAAGTACACCGAGGATGAGCCCCCCCTACCTATTCAACCCACCCCATGTACTATGACAGTACTGATCTGACATTTTCACTGATTACTCGATAGGTGTGGAGTGCCACTATGGCATAAGAGGGAGTGGATTCGTGTTGATTCAACCATAGAGAGACAGAAGAGCAGCGAGATTTCATGATCAAAATTTACAAGATCTGAACTTAAAGTGATCTCTTAGACCCTTGCACATGAGTG